TGAAAGGGAGTAGTTCTTTTAATTTTAGAAAATCGGGTTCTAACTGGGTCCAATTAGACCCAGTAGAGAAACCATATTTACGTTTGCTTGTGAAATTAATTGAAAATAACACGTGATTTCGCCCAGTCCGCATACGGACGGACCGTATGAGAGCCCCTCTGTATATATATATATGTCTTCTGTTCCTATAGGGAAAAACCCCACGTACTTAGAAATTTGAAGAGCAGGATGATAACAATGGACAGCTTCCTAGTCTGTTTATTCATTAATTTATTTTATATAATGAACTGAATTTACAATCCTAGATTTGAACTTCGGTTGTCTGGCTAAACAAGATGCAAAATGTTTGATGCATTTTTATTTTCTCCTGATTTTCTTGCATTCTTGAATTTGTTAGTTTTTAAACTTTTGTTTTTAATTTTGTCGCGTAATATTGTTGTTCAATGTCATTATACCTGCCCTTCAATATGAATCATAATTTGTAGAAAGTGTTCGAAGTGTCTATTTAGTCAACTTATCCCAGGTAAAAAAATTTATAATCATGCCATCATTGTGTTGGCTGCTAATGAAGCATTTTACTAGCATTTTGGTACACTATTGTGGTGTTTATAATGTCTTTTTTATTCTCCCTTCTCTCATGCTGTATTACTATTCTCATGCAGATATGTTTCTGGCTTTTGATAAAGACATGATTGGGACGGTGAGCAAGCAAGAGCTTAGAGAATATGCCGATGGGACACTGACCGAAATTTTTATTGAGCGGGATTAGAAATGGATCCTCTCTTAATAATTTTGAAATTTTTTGTGGTCATAAATTTTTCATCACCACTAAATAGTGAGTTCTTTTGATTCCTAAGCTGATTTATCTTATGATACAATTTTATGACTATCATGCGGTAGTTCTCTAATTCTCCTTGCTTCTATTTTGGTGTTGCTCATGTGGCTTGAAGATACCTTATTGTGTTATGACATTCTTTTTGACTGTTTATCGTTTCACGGCATTTGATGAGCACGTCCGTCGTGGAAAAGGTGGAGTGGGTAATATGCGGGAGATGGATTTGAATGCTTTCTTGACTTTGTTTTAGCCCCGGAAATCAAAGACACACCAGAAGGGCTGACATATATGTTTCTTTGTCTTGATCTAAATGGTCGGAAAGACCTTACAACAGCAGATATTCACACACTTTTGAGGTAAACATTGTCTAGTATGGGATCAGTTCATCATGCAGTGTTATTGAATTAACATGATCCATGAGTTTTAAACTCATTAATGCTATTTAGTATTTGATTTTGATGTTTACTATTTCCTATTGTGTGCTGAACATGGAAGAAAAGAAAGGAAAATCCTAGAGCGAGATGTTACCTGATACAATCTTCCCACAAAAATTTCTGTAACTGCTGGTAGTTCTGCAGACTAGTTCTACAAGTCTCGAATTACCGTACATTTGAGCTGAAAACATAGTATTGTAAACTTATTTAAAGCCACGGTTATCTGACTAAATCCCCATTCCCTCTCTCCCCCCAACCCAAACTCTTTCCAACAAATGATTTTTGCTGTCTTCAGCTTATCATGGAAGAAAAGAAGGGGAACATCTATGAGGGAGATGTTACCTGATACACACTTCCTACATAAAACTCTGAACTGTTTGCTAGTAGTTCTGCGAATCAGTTCTACAAGGCCCATATCACTGTCCACTTGAAATACAACCAAAGATCATGCAGCTTTACTGTTATGGTCATGGAAAGTGTTGTGTGCTACCTGTCCTTTGCAAAAAGCTATTCCATTATATTTTCCTTTCCTAGAGAAGCTATTATTAATTAACTGAATTTTTCCTTGTCTCTGTAACAAGGATGTACATCAGAAATGGATCGAAGGAGGGAATTATGAACTGTGTATTGAGGATGTGAGGGATGAGATATGCGATATGGTAAAGCCAGAAGATCCCTTACAGATAAAACTTGCTGATCTCTGTATGTCCTCTTTTACAGCTCCTTCCTCGAGATAAGAGTCAATCTGCACAAGGACAAATAGAAGGGGGGGCACCGCTGGGATACCGACGTTAGTCCTCCGATGCTTAAGTTAGTAGAGATAGATTAATAGAGGACAAAAGGAATGATGCGGCTACTGTAGATGATGGGATGGAAC